TATAACTACATAAATTGATAGCCATTTTCGTTGTTCTGCGAGATGAGCAAAAGAAATAAAAGGTTGTAAAATTAGGTAATTGTAGGGCCAGTGCAGGTAAACGTAATACTTTCATTGATAATTGATACTAGTCGCACAATTTTGAAGGCAGGTATCGCCAATGTGCAGGTATGTTGAATGCATCTATCGGAGCAGTTTCCTTATAAATGTTAAAAATAATGCTTTTGGTGCGTATTTTGGGGTAGGTATCTTAAATGTGCACTTAAGCATAGAGGCAGCAAAGCAAAATATACTGTATATCAATGCAATAAAGTGGTTTAACTTACATTGATACCATATTCATGGGTATTACTTGTGATACCGGCAAAGAACTAAAATTTGTATTCCAGCATGTAAAAGTCTTGGTTTCGGGGTAACATCGACAAACTCCTGAAGTGCACTGGTTCCACTCATCACTATTAGCTGATGCTAAACGCCATACGGGCTGTTCTATAGACCTTAGTCGATTTTCAATATATCGAACTCGTTTGAATAAAGATTGGTGATGCGGTAAATTATAAACAAATGACCCAGATTCTGCGCTGAATTCCTTTTCATAAACATCCCCAGTGGAATCTTTTACTCCTCCAACTTGTTGCAAAAGGTATTTTAAAACTTCACAAACATTAAGCTGGCAGTGATTAGTGTTTGGATTTATGAAAAACTTTGCTTCACTATACTCGGCTCTTGACAAAAGGGATTGCTCAGATGAAATGTCTTTGAATTCTAATAAAACAAATAATACAATAATAATTGTTGCAAACTTTTTTAGAACCAATAACGCACAAAGCTCCATGTTCGCAACCTCTTCGCTAATGAATATCTCGGAATTGAATACATAACCACGCATATCTACGTTAAATGGGTGTTTATATAAATACGTGCATATTTGCAAATATATGAACATATGTACATTAGGGTAGTCCAAGAATGAATGTGAAAAAGTAAAGTCGGAATTTTTATGCTCTCACCCCCTAGGATTGTTCTATACCGAAAAAAATATACCATTATTTTTTTATTTTGAAATCAAAAAGTATTTAGAGGTTGTTCAAGGTGCGGAAAGTTTTCCGTGTATGTTATATGGGGAAAAACAACTTTTCGTAGAAATGGTATAGAATAGTTAAAAATCAATATTTTTCTACCAGAAAACTCTGTTTATCTGCAGTAGATTCCCAATAATAATACCCAATTGTTTACTTAGCCATTTTTCTTTGCAACTATAATTTATAGGTCCGCCAAAAACCGCCAAAAACCCACAAAAACCCGGAAAAATGGAATGGGGCGACCAATAAATAATCGTTGGTATTAAAAAACGGTTAAAACAACAATTGGGTATTATTATTGAAAGCCTCCTGCTAGAACTAGAGTTTTCCGATCGAAAAAAAATTGAAGTTCAAGAATTCTATACCATTTCTACGAGAAAATTTATTTTTCCCATATAAAAATACATGGAAAGCATTGAGCGCTTTGAGCGACCTCTAAATATTTTTTGATTTCAAAATAAGAAAATAGGGGTATACTTTTTTCGATATAGAACAATCCTAATTACAATTCCGCCTTTACTCTTATTGGGCCACCCTAATGTACATACTACGTAATGAACATTTGCTGCAAGAGTGCCTTAATCAAAAAATTAGTAAAAATTTAGTTAAGTATGCAGATGCGACCGCTATCTGCTATTCTGTGTTGTGTAAAAATTTCATAGCTTTATCGATTGCCACCCAGCAAAAAATCGGTAATCGCTTTTAGTGGTAACGTGTTCTAGAAGGCATAGCGTTATAATGCCTTCGAATTTTTTCGCTTCTTTTAGGCATTGCCAGTAATGCAAAGTAGAATGTCCTACAATATTTTATTTATCTCGCTTCTTCGTTTCATTTCGGGGAATGCAAACTAGAATGTCCTATAATATTTATTTTTTAATTCGTTTCTTTGCTTAATTTCCGGGAATGCAAAGTAGAATGTCCTCTAATATTTCATTTTTAATTCGCTTCTTTGCTTCATTTCGGAGAATGCAAAGTAGAATGTCCTACAATACGTTCCTGACGATATGTCAACGTATATTTCAAACGCATTCTGTTTATTCCGGCTGTGAAATGGGATTATCCGGAATGTATAAAGAAACGCAGCCATAATTTCAATTTGTCAGTAGCATTTTCAATCTTGATAATTTATCAAGAAAAGAGCTTTTGATTCATGATTAAATAATAAAAGGTTTGCTCAAAAAAGAGTTTTCTCGCTCCCTCATGACAAAATCGGCTCCCTTAGCAAGGCACTGTGTGTGGGTTCGTGTGTGTGTGCAAAGCTTTTGTAAGGGAGTTAAGGGAGTGTCAAAACTCGAATGTCAATAATGAGCAAACCTTTAATTATTGAATCATGCTTTTGATTTCTGTGCTAGAATACCAATTCTTGATAAATAATAAAAAATTGACAAATTATAAAGGTTCCCAATTTATCAAGTGAACAGAATCGGGCTGTAAAGATTTTCAATTTATCAAGTGCACAGAATCGGGCTGTTAAAATGTTGGAAAACATAAAAAAATTCTGGCGGGCGAACTGAGGTAACGGTAAAGTATTTAAACTCTCGATAAATATGCGTTTTAGAGAATCTGGTTATTACAGAAGGGCGAGAACTCTCCCCAGACTCAAAAATTAAGATTAGTGCCACAAGAGATTATGTTGCGAGATTTAGCCGATTGGTTATTTGAAACTCAGCCTGGTGTAATAAATCAAAACCACTGAAGGATCGATCAATTTCGCGTCCACAAAATAAGCACTGTACGATAGTTAGTAAAGAAATGGTTAATATGTTGTCCGGAGTAGAAATGGCGTCGATATCTACTGTCGTTTCTGAATATCCACAGGAGCAACTAGAAGTAGGGGAGTTCCACCTCATGACTTCATACTAAATGTTAGAGCAGTTCTGATTCCAATCCTAATATGTACACATAAACATGTGATTCGAATTATATTATCCCATATAAATTAACAGCCCAGCGGATCTACACTAGCTTTTGTATTTAAATGTCGCCAGTTCAAAGTTAATGCAGCGTCCGCAATAAAAATAATAATTTGTATACGTATTGAGCAGAGTATGATCTTGGCAAAATACCAAAGTTAAAGTTAAATACCAAAAGCAATGCCTGTGGTTTTTAGAATAAAGAAATATCCAGATTTTTAGACCACGAGCACCCCGATTTTCGGGGATTATTACTAGTTTACATCATTTTATAGTGTAATACAGTATATTTTGCTTAGCTGCACATCCTTCTTTGCACGAAAAACTTGTGCACGTAACCGAAAAAGGCACTTAAGCGAATTTTCTTTACTACTTCAATGAGGAAGGTATCCGAATCCCTATGAAACCAAATATTGGCGGAGCACTTACCATGTAGAAATTACTGCAAGCGAAATTTTTACCGAATGTTATCTAATTATCTATATAACTACATAAATTGATAGCCATTTTCGTTGTTCTGCGAGATGAG